CAACATTTTTTTTTCTGCATATTCGTAGGAAAAAAACGGATCATCTTAGTTTCAGGTGACCAGAAAATGGCAGATTATCCTGTTTTCAATCCCTAGTAGGACTGCTTATTGAGCTGAAAGTGTTTGCCAACTGCTATGTCAGCTGCATACTTTAACTCTTGGAGTAAAATGCATTATTCGAGTTTAAAGCACACAAAAAAATGAATTTCTAAACTCTAAAATCTTGTTAAAATCACCTTTCCTACATTTAAAATCGACGAAAAAATCAAATAACGAGCACAACCTGAATCGCAAGCCTTCCATCGAGGTCTGCGGGTGACGTCATCACTATAAGCAGCTGTGGCGACGTCACTCGTAGACCCTGCCTGCTCAAGAATTGATGAACTTACACTTGGCCAAACATAAAACTGGTACAGGCAATATATATTTTTTAAATTTGCCTAGTGTGAGTCAGGCTTAGCAACAAAAAGTCTCTTCTGAAAAACTTAGGTCAGACAGTTTTTGTCATGGGTGAGGTGATAAACAAGGTCGATTCACACAATACAAGACAATAGCAAAATGCGTAAAGTCTGTATTTTTTTTTAAAGATAAAAGTCAAAATGACATTATGTTGGCAATACAATGAAAAATTGTCAATGCTTTCAAATTTTTTATGTAGAAAAGGCTTGTGTTGCCAACATAGTTACTAGATTTTTGACTTGGGGAATTATCTTTAAAAAAAAAACACACTTTACCAATTTTATGATTGGCCAAGTGTATGCCATATTAGGATGAGCAATCCTGTTTACAATTGTTGTATAAAAATGTCGAAAATCCCAACAAAATCCAAATCTTTGATTGCATAAACAAACTAGCATCTGCAAAAAGTTTTTCTGACCATTGAAAAATAAACAATTCTCATCAAAAATCATTTTCTGTAACTTGAAAACATTACCTACATATTTTAAAAACTGCTGTTTCCGTCACTCGTTAAACAATAAACATTGTCCGCACCTGTTAGCAAAATCTAACCCAAACAAAATAATATAATTTGACGTCAATTTGGCAACGCAGCACTCCCTGCCTTAACCTTTAAGAATTGTTTTGGCGCTATCACCAAGCTCTTGTGTGTTTCTACAGGTTGACATCAGTTTTGCAATAGCGACTAATAGCGGCATTACCGGCATTGTTTATGTTTCAAAGGTGACAATGCCAAAATCTATCTTGGAAAAAAATAAACCATAGACACCTTTCACTTTTTACCAAATGTGATCAATCTATAATAATATACTATATTTGGAATCAGGAAGAAATGATTTTTCATTTTATCACATAATATACAGGGTGTTCCATTGAAAAAAGTCGAAGTTGCTCCTTTCTCCATTTTCCGATGCGATTTAGTTTTTTTTTTGATAGCGTTAAAAGAAAATATAGGAAAAAACTGTCAAGTTTTGTATTTAATTTTTTTTTCTATCTTAAATAGTGAAGGCTCTAGGTATGGGTCCAAATATAATCAAATACCCTGACATTAAATAAAATTGAGCTAGGCTAGGAAGGAAGGTATATACAATCCATCATGGATCCATTTATTTTCCAATTATTATTATCATCATCGTTTTTTTTTTTTTTTGTATTTTTGGTAGGTATGATCGAGAATGGGTCGTAAAATAGTATACATATTTCAGTGGAAAGTATTCACATATATTATCTCGAGAATTGGTTGGGAGAAACCACATTATCTCTCGACAATAATGAAACACTTTCCACCTCCGCATGTAATATACTATTTCACCTTCCTACGTCCACCACCCATTTTTTAATCATGATTTTATGAACAATATTCAAATAATTCAACCGTCATTCATTGACGTGAAGTGTCCGGTCACTTTGACATTTCGTTTTGCATTTGCTATGTATCACAACGAAGTGTGTGCGAAATCGAAATACCTATATGGTAAAAAAATCTGATCGCAGCAATACTGGGATGGTTTGTAAAAAATAACAGCAAAAACCAAAATGGAAACAAAGAAAACAAGTAAATCTACTAATTTGAACTGATATTTTGAAACCCATTAGAATAAGCATTCTTGATTTTTATTTTATTTTTATCCATATTATTTTTGTTAAAAATGCTGGATGAAACGCTAAAATAATCCCTACTAGTAGAATATACTCGTCTCTATTTCTATTCCCACAAACTTACGGGTAATATTTTTACAAGAAACAATAAACACAGTAGGTACCTAAAATAAAATAAAAAAACGTAACTTGCTAAATGCGTTAAAAAAACATCGAAAACTACGACAACGATAAAGTGCCACCCTGGCTTGAGCATTTGAAGATAAAACGAAATGTATTGCCATTCCAATAAAAATGAATTTAATAAATTTTGCGGTGAGGGCGACACCAACTGGACTTTAAAAATGCGAAACCACCCATCCCTGTTGCTCGGCGATGTGGACACCTCTCACTCGCAGAGAGCGCAGCCTTAAAATTAATTTTTTGATTGAATCGGCTTTTACTTGGTGGAAATCCATTATCTAATAAAAGATTTTTTAAGTAAATTTTAATACTTATATATTTCCACAATTTTTTGTTAAACTTTTAACATGTTTCGCTAAACTTTAGCTTCATCAGAAAGATTTTAGAAAAATAAAATGTAGACATAAAAGTGAAATTGACAAATATAAAAAAGGTAAAAGTTGGTCTAATTTTATGTTAATTTAAATAGGTATTACACAGTAAATAAATTTAAAAGTGGTGAATTGAAAAATAATAAATCTAAAACTAAAATTTGTGATAAATCTGGCGTTTATAAATTATCTTGTAAAGATTGTCCAAAAGTATATATAGGACAAACAGGTAGAAATTTTGGTACTAGAATTAAAGAACATTACAATAGTTTCAATAAAAAGAAAACAGATTCAAATTATGCTAATCACCTGATAGAATCAAATCATAATTTTAATAATGAATTTCAAATACTACATAATGAAAACAAAGGGATAAAATTAAATCTTCTAGAATCTTTAGAAATAAACAAACTTAAAACTTTAGACTGTTTATTGAACGACCAATTAGATTTAAACAATTCACCACTTTTAAATTTATTTACTGTGTAATACCTATTTAAATTAACATAAAATTAGACCAGCTTTTACCTTTTTTATATTTGTCAATTTCACTTTTATGTCTACATTTTATTTTTCTAAAATCTTTCTGATGAAGCTAAAGTTTAGCGAAACATGTTAAAAGTTTAACAAAAAATTGTGGAAATATATAAGTATTAAAATTTACTTAAAAAATCTTTTATTAAAATTAATTATTTCTAGTCACGTTTTTAAAAAATATATATGTCATTGTTTTTCGTCTATATACATTAATATCTACACAAATATAAGAAATCCCAAGAAGCCAAAAAAAAAAAAAAACAAAAGAAAGAAAAAACATTTTCTGAAGAGACACCATTTTGACAAATAATAGTTATTTATACACCAAGTGAGTTAAATGAATGTTTATTCATGAGAAGAAAGTTTAACCCACGAGCTCCAGCGAGTGGGTTAATTTTCTTCGAATGAATAAACATTTTAACTCACGTGATTTATACAAAATTTTATCCCATTTTGATGGACATTCAAAAAATAAGGTTCTTAATAGGAATCAAATTATAAACAGAATTCATTTAGTAGTTATGAAAGCGCTTATTATTGAAATTGGTGGTTGCTAAGGTATAACTAGTTGTTTTTTTGTATTTGTAGCAGATTTTTATACTGGCAGAGTGACTTAAAAGACCGAGAGTGAGTTAAAAATATTTTAAGTCACTCAGGTGATAAACGTCTACTTACCTTTTTTATTATGCGTTCAATAATGTCATTTTTAAACGTCAAAATGGGATCAAGGTATTTTTCACATAATGGATTTTTTTCCGTATTAATAAAAATCGATAAAAAAACTTCCAACCTTTTGAAAATTTATCGAATTTCTACTTCTAATAAATTTCAATAATTTTCCTGGAATTTTTTTAGACTAAAATATCAGCGACCTTCCTGTTTTTGGACATGAGTATAGCACTCGAAGGAGTAACATCCCTTATTGACAATTTTGCCTAATGGCCAGGTGTTCAGTGTTGCCAACTATATGAATGGCCATTTTACCAGATTATAAAACTTGGAATACCAGAATATTACTAGATTTTTCTCAATCCTGCCAATACCAGAATATTACTAGGTCTTTGTTGCTAAATAAGAATTGTGCTAAAATTTTTAGATTTCAATTGTTTATTTTAAGTTTTTATTTTTTGTTTTTTTCGTTAGGTTTAAAATAAAAATGCAATAACAACAATATCTAGTATGGAAAAATAAAACTTATTCAGATAATATAACACTGCATACCTAATGTATGTATACACAGGATAACTATAAACAAATACATTATTGTAAAAAAAAATCCATTCTGTACAACATAACATTACAGATATTTTCTATAATTCTATTGGTCGGTGGATAACTGGCCAACCAATGGGATAACTGAATAACATATTTCGTTTATATATGGGTCAGATGCACTGTAGGTCAGATTGCATACACAGAAAGAAAGGAATTCTTCCATCAAATATTGCGATTTTCTTTAAAAAATATTTTTCAGTTAAGGCAAGGCATCTTGGATGAAAATATTATTATTGATTTAAAAATTATAATTGATTTCTATTTAGAAATATTTATTCTTAAAACATATTCTTGAAAATAGTAAAACTAACTTGACTCAAGAAAAACCTAGTTTTATTTAAAACAATATCCAACCTGTATATTCTTGTATCTATCAATATTTAAATCAAATCTCCGGTTTTTTCAAGTCAAGACAAAAATTAAAATTTTACTTCATCCAAGAATTGCATTATATGGAATATTCTTGAAACAAGACAAGCTGTGACTTGATCGGCACAATTTTATTTTGAGTGGGTATCTAAAACAAATTTCATGCAGAATTGCATTCAGTGTTTTACTATTTGTGGGGTGGATTACAACGACCGGGCGCCGGGCGACAGAACGTTTTGTGCGTGACACGTGAGTGGCGTGAATAAATACCTACCAAAGAATCCCATGGTTAACAGCATAATAGACAATATTATTAAAAAAATATCTGCTGTGCGATGGCTGAAGAAGTAAAGGACTTGCTTGAATCCTGGAATGTCCCGATTGACATAATAAATAACTTTTCAGGTATGTATGTATTATCGTTGATTGATACCTATTATTAAGTAAAAGTTAAAAGTCTTGTGTTAAAACCAAGAAACAACAAAAAATAGTGGCATTATTTTTTATTTTCCACTTTTTACATTGGGTGTTTTATTAATAGCTATCGTAAAAAGATTAAAGTACAGATTCTATGGTCAAAATTTTTAAAAAATACGGTTTGTTTTCGAGATACGTTCTAGGTGGAATGCTGGAAAGTAGTTTTTTAAATTAAAACCTTCAGATAAATAATAACAAATGTAGTGGTAGTATCTGGAGGTAGGTACAGAATATTTTATTACAATTTATTTTTTGTATTTTAGATAACAATATAACTCTAGACCATTTCTCATCTTTAGATGATGCCTTCTTAAAAGAATTGTGCCCACCTATCGGAACAAGAATCCAATTAAAAAACGAAATACTCGAATTCTTAGCAGGAAGAGATTCCACGGTAAATAACAATGAAAATTCTTTGCATAAGCCTTGTAGCAGTAAATTTCTTTTATGTTGGCGATTTTAATACCCAGAAAATTTAATCCATATCTGCAACTGTTCAAAAAAACATTATTTTTTTCAATTGCCAAATGTTTTTAACTTGAATTTTTTAATTATTATACAGGCGGATACTGAAACAATTTATAGTGACAGCAACGGCACAACAGATGGGGTGGAACTTGAGAGAGTTATAGAACAAGACAATTTACCAGGTCCTAGTTTCACCCAAAAAGAAAATTTACCAGGTCCAAGCTGGCAAAATGCGGATACTTCTAATGATGTTTCATCAGGTTTGGAGGAATTAGAGGAAACACTTCGTAACCTAATACGACCCTCATTGCCAGAATTCGACCTAAAAACATTATTACAAACTTCTCCTTTGGGAAATTCAGTATTACAATTTTATAATGCTAATGGCTCATTGGACCAAAAGAGGCGAAACAGACTTGTGGATATTATGATTAAACATATATTCAATTATACATATAGTGAAACAGTAAGTGTTTTAGCATTAGCAATTTTTATACTCGAAAACAAACTAATCTTATCTAAATACGTTAGATACATATACAATTTTTTTTAAATGTTTCTAGATACTCTTATACCTTCTGATGTACAGGGTGTTATTGAATAGTAGTATCAACATTTTAGGATTTTAGTACTCATTAAAATAAGAGAAAAGTAAATAGAAACATAGGTCTGCAAATGCTTAGTTTTTGATATACAGCTTGAAAAAATTGGTTTTTCAAAATCTGTTTCCCGAATTTTTTTAAACTTGGCAGATTTGTTTGTAATAACAAAAGTTATCTTTTGACTCAATTGAATCTACCGTCGTAATTATTCCAGTGGCGCCCCAGAAGGCAACTACGTTGGTGAAAGAAAAAAAATGGCACATCACTATTTTTTCATAACTTTCATATTTTTTTCAGATTTCAAGTCATATTCTAAGGTCATATTAGTCAAAACATACCTTCTGTTATCACAAACAAACCTGCCAAATTTAAAAAAAAAATGGAAATGGGATTTTTTTATTAACTGTTTTCGTATTTCGATGAGTACTATTTATCCTAGAAGTTTGATCCCACTATTCATTGACAGCCTGTATAATGGAGTAAATGACCTCCACCCTCCACTAGGTTGTTTTGGGACCCTTCGCCTTTCAAGCTTAAAGAAAGCCTAGAAAAATAGTTGAAAAAATTGCTTGCAAAAATCTAAAATGATTAAATGAACTGGGCCAGATCCATTTTTAAGTTAAATAATATTGGCATTAAGCAATAAAAGGTACCTGGCACTTTGTATAGGCAACATTGCAGTTAAAAAAAAAAAATAATGAAGTGAAGGAGGAGGATTTTTTAAATTATTTTTTTGGGGTTCCTTGTGGGGTCTCCTACAACGTAGTGGCGAGCTTTCACGCCAATTTTATACAACGTGTATATATCCAGCAGGCTGAAGTTCGATGACTACAAGATACTAGCAGCAAAAATTGTAGCTTTGTTTCCCAAAGAAAATATTGGGACTTACTTTGTATCACCTATAAAAAAGTCATTATCGGTCAAAGGAAAACCCGTATTTGCGAAGGGCAAGCTAGTAGACAAATGTCGCAATCTTTTATACATATCTGGCGAGAAACGAACCAATAGAAAACGGCCATTACAAGAAACTACTGATTCAACCACCGAAGAAGGGGAAGAAATAGGTGTAAAGAAGCAAAAACTCGAAGGTATATTTTTCAAGTACCTATATGGAAGCTCAAATAAATTGGCGTTTTAAAAGAAGATGTACAGGGTGTTTATGTTGAAACTTATCACCCCTATTTTCTCGAAATTGAAAAATTCCCAAAACACCTCAACTATAATTTGGAAGGGGATAAGTTTTTATGCAAAATTCACCTTCCCCCATTTAACCTTTAAAATTTATTTGTGTTCATAAAATCCATTCTTAAAAATAATAATAAAGAAAAATAAATACAATCATGAAATTAAAAGGGGCATAACTTGTTAGGGGACTGTTAGGAGTGCAACTGAATTCAGAAAATTTAGTACCAATCACTCCTTTCTATTTGGAATTTTTGGGGAGGTAGCTCTGGGGGTTAGGGAGCTAAAGGGGGAAGTAAATTTTGCATAAAAACTGATTCCATTCCAAATTATAGTGGACGTGTTCCAGGATTTTTTTTCAAAAATTTTCCAATTCTGCGATAATGGGGGTGGTAAGTTTTAAAATGCACACCCTGAAAGTAATCTTTATAACCTTGTTTATTTTCAGAGCTGCATAAAGAAAACATTCTTTGGTTGAAAGTCAATCAGGAGCCATGGAACTCTGTCATAGTTAAATGGGAGAGTACTTTTGAAGTTAGACAGACTTCGGAATATGTTTCGGTAGAGGATTTTCTTAAAAATTGGCCAATTTTGCTCGACTTAAGGGGTGACATTTTGGTAAGCAAAATAAAGTTAATATGCTTATACCTACATATGTATATATTTTTTATAAATTTTGTCCTCAAAGATTTTCACGGGCTTCGTTTTTGTGTTGTATGTATGTTATGTCTTCTATAAATTCATATTTTTCAGATTAACCTCGATTTTAATCGTATCTACCCTGGGAAAGGTACGCATTTTTTTGAGAAGTGGCAGACCTTCTTTACCAAAATATTGGAAATAAGAAAAAAGGATTTACCAAGCAATGATCCCTATATAGCCGCATTGTTGGATTCATTAGATACCATTGAAGACAATGGTAAGAAGCTATTTTGCATTTTACAATCTGCTGATTTATATTTCAAAAGTAGTAATATATTCAATATATTTTTTAGATTCCAAGATTACGACACAAATAACTCTTCTTCCACACCTCATACCACCAAAAGGGCGAACGGTCATAGAAAAGAAACACTGGAAGTTTTCGACTCAAGAAAGTGTTGAAAGTCTGGTGGTGCTCGTTAAGGTAAGAATACTAATGTGTGTACACATGTATGCATACGTACTCTTTATATGAATAAAAAAAATATATTTGTTATTTTTAGAATCCTGGTGATATAGAGAAAACTATAGCCGAACAAAAAGAAAAGTCATTAAACAAAAAACAAAGGGTTCAGCCATATATCCTGGTAGATGGCCCTGACCTGATAAATTTTAGAAGAATATTCTTGGTTGTGGATACTTTAAGGTACCAATTTGATTGCCCTAAAAAAGCATTTGATATTTTATTTAAGGCCTATCACGTATTTAAAGCCAAGTATCCTCTACCTGGAGAACATATTTATTTGCTTATACAAAGGTGTATCTATAAGATCAAAACCAAGTATGACATTATTCAGCCATATGTGCTGAATATTTTACAACAATTAGAATAGTGTTTTATATTATTTTTTTAAAGTGAAAAATGGAATGTTCCATGTGCCCAAAGGTTTTGTGTGATTTCAAACAATATATACTTCACATGGATTGTTTTCATAATTTAAATTCAAATTACTTTGTTTGTCCTATTCCAAAATGCAGTAGAACTTACCATCGAAAAAACTCCTTGAAACAACATATGAATACTGTACACAAGTCTGACTCTAATCCTCATAAGATAACAACAATTAATAGCAAAGATACCTACGATAAACCTAATTCAAGTATCGACATTCATTTAGAAACCGATAATACTTCAAAGGAATCTGCAGAGGTTGTAACCGATGATGGCCCAAAAAAACTGTTTGCTGAGTTCCAAACACTATTCGCGATTTCGGTTGATAAATTTATTGCTCAAGTTTATTGTAGTTTAGTAGTTCCAAGATCAGTTATTCAAACTTTTATAGAATCTGTTTCTGATTTTCTTGCGTCTGGATTAATTCAAAAGATAATAAAATCTCTAGAATATCTTTCCAAAGATCATGATTGTGTTGCATTGGATTATATAAATTCTATGCTTAAATTACTGGAAAATCCATTCTCATCGCTGAATACAGAGTACAAACGATTCAAATATTTTCAAAATTCTGCAAAATTACATATGCCTCAGGAAATTTTTCTTGGTGTTTCAGAAGATAAAGTTCGGAAAGATAATGAAGTATCTTTGGTCCTAAAGCATAGATACGCACTTTACGTTCCACTAAAAGAATCAATCAAACGTTTTTTAGAGTTACCCAATGTTTATAATTGCATAAAAAACTACCAAGAAGAACTAAATAGGGAATATTCGGAAAATAAAGTTCTACGAAATATTATAAATGGAAGCGTTTGGTCTTCCAAATTTAATAGTGATACTTTACCCTTAGTATTGTATTATGATGATTTCGAAAGCGGAAATCCACTTGGAAGCCATGCAGGAAATTATAAAATAAGCGCTATGTATTTTTACATTGCAACATTACCGCCTGATCACATTAGCAAATTAGAAAATATATTTGTTACTTTCTTGCTCCATTCAATTGATAAGACAACTTTTGGGAATTCTGTATTTCAAACTATTATTAATGAATTAACTGTCTTAGAAACTAACGGAATTGATATAAATATAAATAATAAATTTGTCAATGTCAAATTAGCATTGGCTGCAATTACTGGTGATAACTTAGGAGTACATGGCATACTTGGATTATTTGAAAGTTTTTCAGCTACACATTTTTGCCGATTTTGCCTTATTTCTAAAGAAGAAACTAAAACACTTACGCATGAGATACAAGAGTACATGCGAAAAGAGTCTGATTATGATGATCACTTGCATCGTAAAATTGGTGTTAAAGAAAATTGTATATTCCATTCATTACCTAACTTTCATTTGTATAGAAATGTCACTTGCGATGTTATGCATGACTTATGCGAAGGAGTTCACCGATATAGTATGGCCGTTTTAATTGATAATTTAATTAGAAAGAAATATTTCACATTGGATAACCTAAATGCTAGAATAAGATATTTTACATATCAAATTTCTGAAAAAAATGTTCCTCTTCCCGTAACAAAACATTTATTAAACGGATGTATTATTTTCTCGGCATCAGAAATGTTATGTTTCGTTCGAAATTTTAGATTTATTATTGGTGATTTAATTCCGGATAATGAAGCTTTATGGATATATTATTCAAGTTTATTGGAAATTACACAAATTTTAACTAGTCAATCAATAACTAATTCAATTTTACAGCATCTAGAAACTCTCATTGATGAACACCATCAGATGTTTCTCGCTCTTTTTAACACTTCTTTGAAACCCAAATTTCATCTTTTGGTACATTATGTTCACATAATAGAAAAAATTGGTCCTCCTATTTTCATTAGCAGTTTCAAAGGTGAGGCCAAGCATAGAGATTTAAAAGTAATTGCACAATCTATCAGAAGCAGGAAAAATTTACCGTATTCGATTTTAGTAAGATGCCAATTAAAGAGTTTTTACAGATACATTTCAAATAAGGGATTTATTGATAGAATTTTATATAGTGATCAAATTAATATTGATGACGTTGATTCTAACCTAAATTTGGAACCTGGGGATTTCTATTCTATTAGTTGGTACGAAATAAACGGTGTTAGATACGAGACTGAAATGGTACTGATATATAAATATGAAAATGACGATGTTCCCTGTTTTTGTAAAATTACAAATATTTTTTTAAATCAGCACGATGAGAAGTTATTATATATGGAATGTTCTCCTTTAAGTATTATCGGTTACTGTGAACATTTTAAAGCATTTAAAATTAATTCCGCAGACTTGCAATCAAAAATTACAGTTAGATTGGAGGAGTGTTTTTCCATATTGCCTACCATCATTCACAAAGATGGAAATAGTGAATATGTGTCACTTCAGGAATGAATAAAGAATAAAGTAATAAGTGGATTTGAGTTGTGAATATGTTTGCCTTTGACACAGTTTTCACTTTATTTCGAATATACGAAAGTGGTATTTATTTTTATTTTCATCAGTGTTGGGTTTAAAACTCAAATTATCACACTATTCTTATTTTATTTTAAGAGTTATTTTCCTTTTTTTTTCCAATGGCTGTATTTGAAAGAAGACTGATAATTTGAAGACTACCAAAAGCAGATTTAAGTTGTGAATATTTGAAAGTGTTTTTTATTTTTATTTTTATTAGTGTTAGGTTGAATACTCAAATTATCACACTACTCTTATTTTATTTTACTTGTTATTTTTCGTTTTTTTTGTTTTTCAATGGCTGTATTTGAAAGTAGATTAATGATTTGTAAACTATCAAATCTAAAAGTACAAACTCAAATTAAATTTATTCTAGGTTGTTTATACTTAACACATTTATAAAGTTTCGTCACCCTCTAGTTTAGTTATATTGTTTTTTTAATAAAGAAAAATAAAATTTGCCAGAAAATATTTTTTTTTTTACACCTAGTTATACCTAGTACAATAATAATTGTGCTTGATTTTAGGTACCTAGTATATATTTTTTTCTACCTGATGTAACAAAATTACGTGTACAAAAGGTGAGTACTTATAGATACCATAACTGAAAATAAAAATATGGCGAGTTTAATTGGACTCACCTATTCTTAAAATTTGCTTCATTTTTCTGATATGTAGTCTCTTGAAGTGACAAACATCAATGTATTTTTGAAGCTTTGAAGTGGAAAAAGATAGTACATTATATCCATATAAACTCACCCTATTGTGATGTAGGGTATCTGTGCTCACCTTTTGTATACGTAATTTTGAAACATCCTCTAAACAAAAATATAATAGGTACCTAATATCAAAGCACAATTATTCTTATTTTGAAAATATGAATAGGTGATGATATTCTTGAATGAAAACTATATTTGAAAAAACGATGCTTCATACAAGAACAAGTATTCTAAAATCAAGAAACTGTATTCTCCAATTTTATACCCGCATACTAATTCTAAGAAAATATTGATTTGAGTTAAATAAATAAAATTCTCTATTGGAAATTCATTTTATGCGAATTTGTTTGAATTGAATACATGACTAATTTCCTTTAAATATATGGAAAATTCTTTAAGGAAATAAAATATTTTCTTTTCATGAAATAATATACGCAAGCAATCCCTTTACTTACAAGAAGAATATATTTTTTTCGTTATATATAAATCACTTATTATCTTAGAGCAAATCAAATTGGTTTAATTGGAAATATTTTTTCTTTATGTGTACCTGACAGTTTATCAGAAGGTGAATAAACCGGCCCTAAGGGTCAAATTATGGACTGACTGGTAAACGTCTGGTTGTTACCTAGCAGGTATTTTCTATGCTTTAGATAATAGAAAGTACCTGCTAGGTAACAACCAGACACTTATCAGTTGGTCCATAATTTGGCCCTAATAGGTATATTGGTAACCTTTGGCATAACTATTTAAGAGTAGTCTCCATTGAAGCGAAATAGCGATTTATTTTTTGCGGATTTCTTTCCTATTGGTTCAAATTTCACATTCAAATATCCAATGTCAAATTCCAACATGTAAAAATGTCACTTTAAGCGTTGATTATCGTTAAAGCTCCCTCAAAATGGACGGTGCAAACGACCATAAATTCAAGAAAAATAGATTATTGATTGTTAATGCGAAAATACCAGAATTTTGCTGGAATGAAATTTCAAATTACCAGAAATATTACTAGATATATTTTTAAAATCTTCATTACTAAAACCGGGGTCGATATTACCAGATCTGGTAATTATTTTACCAAGTTGGCAACACTGCAGGTATTGTTCCTCCGAATTGATTTTGACAACTCTCATTATTATTAAATATGTACAGTTTTTAGATATTAAGATTAATATAACCAGGTTTAGAGGTTGATTGATTTAGCGAAAATAATACAACCTGTGCTCATTTTGGTATTTTTCAATTTTAGTCTTTTATGCTTGAAGATGAAGCGTTGAAGCTTCGAAACCGGTAGTATATAAATTAAAGAATTTTTGGGATTTTCAGGCAAGAATCGTAAACTCTACAGGATTGCTCAATCCCATAAGACAAACGTTCATAAAAACATCGAAGATGGCGGTATGCGAATGACGTCACGCAGTCCTTGATCGGTTTGTGTTTTTTATGACAGTGCACTATCCTTGCATTTTCAAACGTGAAAAATTGTTATTTTGAGGTTATTTCCTTTGAAAACTGTATTTTGTAATTAATTTATTGATTTTAAAATTAGCAGACTTCAAAAGCTTGTGTCCTTGATGCTTGAGTGGTTGGCTAATTGCTAATTAGAAAGACGAGTTTAGCCAAACATATTGCCAAAAAGTCAAAAAAACGAAGGGCTGGAGTCAAGCTGGCCCCCGGATTCGTTTCAAGTTTTTTTTTGTTTATGAAAATGAGCACAATTCGCATAAATACTGGCACAATTGAGCACAAAACGGGCACAATTGACTACAGTTGA